GTAAACAACTAAGTAAGGTAACCGTATCTCATTATAAAGAAACATTGTATATACAAGCTTAAGGCAGCTTTAGACCTCATCATCAGAAGTGAAAAAAACTGATGCCGTTGCCTATTATTTTACTGTTACGAATTTTCGAATTTTTAATGTCATTTCCAGACCCCTTGTCAATTTTGTATAAATGGTGTCGTCATAATATGTTACGGTCTCTCTAGATCGCTTTTAAAAATGCCTGTTGACTAGCATACGAAACGTCAAGTTTATAGACAATGTATACCAGTGCAAAATTAAAATTCACAGTTTTCATCACCGGGTGTTTGTGTCTTATTTAAGAGCAAGAGGCATCTTTACTTTCCAGTAACCTGGAAAACGGCTCGTTTGTAGAGTAATATTGACAATCTTGAAGAGACGAATGCACTCGCTGATTTGGATGGCATCGGGATCAAGTAGATAAGGCTTTTGCGATAAGCTCTTAATCTAACTGCATACAACACGTCTTACCCCATTGTTTTGACAGTTCCATACGGGACCACACTCACAATCTAGATCTTAGTAGTCTGAGAGGAAAATTTGCTAATCCTTCAAGCGCACACAGTGCTGTCTCGAACAGTTTGCAAATATGAATTTCCTGATCAATTTATTAATTTTATGGTCGTAATATATAGATTTAGCCAGGGCTAAAAGCGAGGCTCCCATTAATAAATTTATAATTTAAATTAAACAATAAACTTGTATTCGAATTCCACAATTCAGTTAACTTTAGAGCACATTTATGTGACTTTTGAGGGAAAGGCTACCTGATTTTAGAGAAAAATAATTTGCAAACAGCCCAAGAGTGAACCAAATCTTACATCGAGTTGATAGCCTCATATGTACACTTCAAAACTGGTAATCATCTTCGATCACATTTAAGAGCCATAATGGCTCTTGATCACCGTAGATTAATAAGTGGAAGTGCAAGTGGAAAAAATATCAGGCCAACCTTTTTGCGTTCGACAAGTTTACTTTGCAAAATCTTGTCAACAAATCTGGGTGCGTGTAAACCAAACTTTTATACCATTTATACATCACGTCTGAGGTGAAACAGTAGTATGAGGCACTTTTTTTATCATACCGGCAGACCTCGGACAGAAAGCAGTATTTCACAATACAAATTGTACTTATTCAATATTCATAAACTGTTAAAAAAATTTCCAAAATCACCTATACGGCCATCCAGGGTCTCACGTTTGTAGTGCGAGCTGTGGCGAGTGTTTGAATGAACATTAACAGAGTTACGCGCGGCATTTTGAGTTAAATAACTCCTGCAAGCGATGTTCACTGAACGACTGAAAACAATCGGCACAGCGATTAAAATTACAAGAAAGACTACTAACAATCAATAAAAGAAATATAATTCGGTGAAACATATACAGAGACAACAATTTTCATTCAGGAAGACAAGTATTAAGGTGTCCCTAAAAATCCTGAGTCCTCAAGCTTCAAGCTTAAGTTTATGTTTTAAGCCGGCTTCCCGGTGTTTGCTTTTTTCAAAGACGAACTCGAGGCAAGAAAATCGCTCAAAGCTTTGTTTTCCGGCCAGAATTATAACTAAATATTCTTTGGAACGTTTTCTTTCTATTTGCGGTGAGAAACTGTCTAAAGGCTTTTTAAAGTTCTGTAAGCTTATATCAAACCTGATACTCGGTCAGATCATTGTCTCAAATCTTACAAACGTGCATAAAACTAAATGCCCGCATAAACTACGCTCGACTTCATTAAATTAGATACAAAAAACAAACATCAAATACAATAATTTCTCTGGCTTACCATTCGAGATGCAGCTCCTGAAAAGTATCAAGAAAAGCCAGTATCGCTTCAGACTTTGCAATCCTCTTACGCATCAAGCAAGGTGAAAACGAAAACGATGCCATCCGAAATCGGATTTCCGACTTTGACAAGCGACGTATTCCTCAACCAAAAACCCAATAAACAAACTAGCCATGAATAACAGAAGACTCCTGATAGCAGCTGAATTTCATTTTGCACATCCAGTGGAAAAAGACAGTTACAAACATCAGAAGTTGACACAAAACTCTGTCAGCATCAGTTGTCAAAGTAAACAAGATTCAAGACGCTGCATAAATTTTCCGCATGAACTCACCTGTCAAATTTTGACCAATCAGAGCATAAAAATTGGACGTAGAGCGTGACCAACGCGTGACCATCGTGAGAAAAGTCAAAACCAACTGTCTTCCCTGCCTGTAACAGCTAGCTGAATTTTCGCGTCCGAGGTCAGTTTGCTATCAAAATTTTAATTGTGTAGCACATAAACACAACGTATTTCATATGAATTTAGAAAAAAATTGAACTTGAGCCTGCGATCACTTTAAAACAAGTAACTTGTCAGCGGATAGCTTCAAAAAATACTTGACCTCGATGGGTCCACACCTGAGCCCGCGATACGGTCAAGTGATACTGGTCAGCGGGTATCCTGTTTTGACAGCTGTCAATTGATCAAAACATTGATGTCCAATATGTGGGCATTATCAGTTTAACTAGTATGAGATTGAACATTGTTCGCGATCTAGTAAAACAATTAACTGGTCAGCAGACAGCTTCCAAATAAATCACGTCACCTCGATGAGTTGACAAATGAGCCCGCGATATGGTCATGGGATACTGGTCAGTGGCTATCCTGTTTTGACAGCTGTCAATTGACCATATTGTGAATGTCCTATACTAAAATCCTATATTAAAGATGTGGACTTGCCAAGACACGCCTGAGACACCCCTCCCTTCCTTCTGATAGTCTCCCCTACCCCACCCGTACAATCTGTAGACGCGTACGTACGTATGTACGTACGTACGCTCGGTCAATCACGTGACAACCAAACGAAAAGAGGTTGACCATATTCCATGAGTATGGGGCTCTGTCCCACGCGCGCTTCGCGCGCGCGGGAGCCCCGCTATAAAGAGTTTTCTAATCACGCCGATGAACACTAAGTAATATTTTGAAAAAATGTGTTCATAAGAAGCATTATAACTTTTGTCAAGAACTTCAAAACAGCAAGGCCAGAAAAAAAAAAACCTTACGTCTACCCCCTTTTTGTTCATTTTTTTGCCTTTACGCTTCCCCAGTTCATTATTAACCATAGGGACACGGGAACGCCCAAGCTCCTCGATGAACTCCCCAAAATAGCAAACAGGTAATTATCAAGGTCGTCGATAATAGGGAGGGGAATACGTCCGAGAGTGTCTTGAGAGTGAATGTACGTTAGCACTGTTAAGATGGATGGAAAAACTTGTATGTTGCAGTTATAACTTAGGCGAACCCGAATGCAAACTGTAACATTTGAAACAAGGGCATTATTATTTCTTTTTTCTTCTATTTAGGTTAAAACCTTCTATTAGATCAAAAACATCGGTGTGAATTGATATGCTAATTATTCAACAATAAATGTCTTTTTAAAGGCTATTTGATCATCCGATTTCCCACCAAGAAGAGACAGGCTGCTTGTAAAAGCATTGTTAGCCATGCGAGTTTTCGTAGAATAACTTTTAGGGCTATAGTTCCCGGACTATAAGAAAAGCAAAAAGTGGTTGTTTTCAAAGGAATAAAACAACAAAACTCGCTTACCACCTTTTTGGACAACAGAAAGGTGGCGTTTTAATGGAGACTTTAGAGTTCAATGATTTACTGAGATTTTTTGGGACTCTGCGGTAACTGGCCCTGTAAGAAAGGATGGCTGCCTCAATTCCTACCATTCTTTTCAGCCTTTATCATTATCGACACAGCATATTCGAGTTAAATTATTCTTCTCTACAGTATGTTAAGGATGTCTTATTTTTGCAGGTTTTTGTCGAATAACAGAATTGAAAAGCTTCCATCTGGCTTATTGTCAAATGTCTCTAAGATGGAAAGTTTGTAAGTATATTTTTTAGTTGTTTACGGGTCATGAACAAAGCACTAGGCGAGTACTACGAAAAATATAGACATAGTAGCATGTATACGGTAACTATAGCGAGCTTAAGCAACGAGAACGTTGACTTCCCGGCTAAAATGAATAGCAATCAGAGGATGCATTTTTTGCTTTATGGGAAGCTTCTTTAATAATACAACTATTTTGAAAGCTCTTGAAGTTTTGTGTGGCGTGATGTTATTGAGTCAGTCCATTTAAAGCGTGGGGAGGCCAACTTCCGATTATTATTTTTGGCGTGTGAGACGTTACAGTTTTCGTTGGTCATGAGAAATATACATACTAACGCACTCATAATAGTACTATGAGTTAACCAGGAAGGGGAGTTGTCGTCAAGCCATTTTTTTTCAACTTCTTTCAACAAAATTGAAGCTTGTGGATAAAATTATGCAAAGTACTTATTTGTGTTATTTTACAAATCGGGCACAAAAACTCAATTCTAGCGGTTTTTACCTGAAATCTTGCTCATTCTTGGTTAAATCCAAGATGGCGACCAAGATGGTGACCATGTTTGGTGACGTTACGGGCCTCCAACATCCCCTTCACCCATAAAATTATACCTAATCTTGTAGAAAAGATCAAAGGCTTCCCACAGAAGGCAAAATCGTTTTGAAATACTGCAACATATCAAAAACTCTAGGGAGGGGTTCCATCACCCCCTTGTACCACGGTGGGGTATGGCGTTGCGTATACATGTACGTCCGAGGGTTTAACTTACAGTAAACTACAAAAGGGCTATCACATGCATTAATATGCAATAGGCCAGCATTATGTAACGGAAGGAACATAATAGTTTTATGTTGGGACCAAAGATAAGCTTATCAGTAGATAACAGCTAAGGAGGGGCATTGCGATAAGCAGTTCTCTGGGTGGCCTCTGCGGTCTATTACACGGTCTTTTATTTGTCACGTGGAGAGACATCAGCTATGTAAAGGCTGCGACAAGTAAGTTCTTCCCCTTTTTCTGCGAACAAGCTCAGCGAGCACATCTCAGCGAAAGTGAAAGTCTATCGCAACTCATTTTTGTTCCCAGTTTATCAGGCAAGTTTCATCATTTTGTCCTGTTTTTTATTTTCGTCTTATTGTTGTTGGGTACATGGCGCCACCTCAAATTTTAATCCTGGGACACTCCTTTATTCGTCGTCTTGCTGGGTTTTTGCAAAAAAGCGGGCACGAACACCTCATGGCCAAACTCTCATCTCTAGGGTCCATACGTTTTCACGGTGTAGGTGGCCGTACAATTGCGAAGGTTCGGAAGTTTGTTTTAGGCATAATACGCCGTCTAAGTCCTGATATTATAGTCTTGGAGTTGTGTTCTAACGACTTAACCAAACTGCCGGCACAAACCGTCGGTTCGGAGCTTGAAACTTTAGTGCGATATCTGCACGACGAGTTTAATGTGAAAAGCATTGCAGTATGCCAAGTTATTCGGCGGCACTCCCCTCAGTGAACTGCGTACAATTTAAAAGTTACCAAACTTCATTTGTATCGTAAGGCTGTTCTCGAACCAATACCTTACTGCTTGTACTGGAAACACAGGGGTTTCTGGAACTCCCGGGAAAACATTTACTTGTCGGTTGGAGTTCACTTAAATGATTTAGGCAACTTAAAGTTGTTTCGAAGTATCCGGGGTGCGGTCATTAAGGCCGTAGGCCTAGTGGGCTTATAATTTCACGATTTTATGCCTACCAAAGTGCATACTTATGTCGTTTGTAATATATAGTGACGAGTGAGGCATTTTTCTCTTATAGTCTGACTAGTGCCAATTTTACTTATGAGTTATTTGTGCCCGACACATGGCGTAATTAGTGTACTTATTTTTTGGCGGCTATCACGATAGTGTGCCCAGTGCACTCAGGCCATTATAGGACGTTAGTCCTCAATATGTCCATGCACCATATCCTCTATATTTTGTTTGTCGCTTGAGACAGGCCTGTAAGAATTTTTGCCTCAAGTCACATGTTCATTTTGTGATATAGTGATACCCGACACATAATTTTTGCGCCCGGTGAACCTTGGTGCGCCTATCTCTATTATTTTGTGTCCATGTATCATATATCCACAATTTTCCTCTATTGCATTCGATCGTTTGCTTACACCAAAATTTGGCCGGCTGACTGCAACCAGTTTTTACTCTCTTTACTATGCTTTGTTTAATTACTTATGTTAGTCGTCTTAGCCATGCGTTACTGGTCATTATTGTTATGCGGTTTATTTAAGTCATGCCTCCTAAGAGAAAATCAGCTAGACAGGTGGGTAGGTCAGCTGCCAAAATCACAAAACGAGCGACCCCATCCTCTGGTGCCTCGAGTGACCTGGCCGAGGTTTCAGCAGCGCAACAGACAGCTGTGAACATCGTGGACTTAACGAGCGTGGTCACATTGGCAGTGACAGAGGCCCTGAAAGCTGTTGGAGTTGGGAAAACGACTCCATTATCCAGTCCCCCCACGGTTAACCCAAGTCCTGGGTCTGTAGATGCCTCAGCCACAGTGGAGACCGCCACAGCTGCCGAGATAGCCAGCATTTCATCCCTGTCGGCGGGTAGACAAATTCAAACTTCTGGCGCCACACGCAGACGTTCAACCCACCCCGGTTCCGAGCAGCCTACTACCACAGAATTGGAAGCTAACTTAACACACTTAATGCACTCTGCTATATCACCGGGGTCACGCAAAACGTACGAACAAGCATGGAATCATTTCTTAGATTTTTCCACCAGATACTGTGGCACAGCTTTGCCAAAACTTCCACTGAGTGTCAGTGATATCGTACTTTTTGTGGGCGATTTATCGGCCAAGAGATTGGCACCTTTTACCATTTCGACTTACACTTCCGCATTGAGCTATTTTCATAAAATTGGATCTTTCTCTGATCCCACCAAAGCATTTGTTGTACACAAGATCATGACTGCTCAAAGCAGGCTCTGCTCGAAACCGGACATACGGTTGCCTATCACTCGCTCTATCTTACATAAATTGGTGCAGGCTTTAAATCACACCATCACGCCCGCCCATCAGATTTTATTATTCCAAACAATGTTTCTCCTGGCTTTTTCTGGATTTTTTCGAGTGGGTGAGCTAGTCTGGCAGCAGAAAACGGCATGTCTGACGCGCAGATTCTTGGTCTTGGTCGTTGGAAATCCGATGCATTCAAGTTGTACATACGATCGCCAACTGCGTGGGCAAATTAGGTTCGTTTTCGGTTATTGCAGTCACGGGCTGGTAACCCGTTTATAACGACCAAAATAATCAGTTCTCGACAGGCATGGGCTGGAGAGACGATTTTATTTTTATTCTTATTATACAGACCGGAAACACGTCAGAGATTGGCCTGGTGTTTCTGATGTATGGACTGGCGTTATTTTGACTTCGTAATTTTTGTTCTGTCTTGGGCATTTTTCGTAGGTTATGTTTTTACGTTTTCCTTAATGCCTGCAGGAGTAATCGGCTCTCGGCAGGCCTGGGCTGGAGAGCCGATTACCATTATTCTTATATCAGACCGGCAACACATCGGAGGTTGGCCTAGTGTTTTCTGATGTCTGACTCGCCATTTGTTTTTGTGCTTGGTGTGCGTGCTCGGCCTTGGTGGGGTTTTCCTGAGTTGAAATGTCATAGTGATTTATAATTTCGTTATAACAGTGTGCTATTGTAATCACAACTTGTTAGTGATTTTTGTCAATTAAACGCCACTTAAGTGGCCATTAAAATCCAGCACGATCTCTGTATTTACTGACAGTAAGCGAAGGCCGTCGCATGCACACAAAATCGCTACGACGTAATATTAACCTGTTGAAAGGGCGTCCCAATATAAATATTACTACAGTTGAATGGACTGACTCTACAAAATTAGGGAGTAAAATTAGTTATCATCTCTATTTATAGCCAGAGAAGTTGTGAATATCTTCCCACAATACATTGCGGTTCAAAGTAGAGTATCAAGATTTTCGGCTCAGACTCTTTGATCAAGCCATTTGTTGGCGGTCGAAAATGTGCTTTAAGAGCCATTATCTGAGAAAATCGAGAATCGCACGACACTCGTCAAAAAATCGAATTTTTTTTTATTTTGCCAAAACATCCCTTTCAGTGACCTTATTTAAGGAAAAATAGTTTTGGGTTCAAACGATTCATTTTAAAGGAGAAATTAGGAAAAGTTTGAAAAATCGATTTTATGCTCGTTTTTCGCACAAAACACGGCAGGATGCAATGGCAACTTCGAGAGAAGGGTGAACGCGTAAGAAACATTCCCTGACATTGAAACTTCACCGAATTATTATTTTGTTCTTACTCTTGAAAATCCTAAAAGAAAATTTGATAAACAATGCTTTACATTTTTATAATCGACAAGTGTAAAGAGGTCATATTTGTGACGTTAGACGTGCTAGAAAATGAAGGCCAACTTTGACTATTAAGAAAGGCCTCTGGTATATGCCGCTTGATCATAAAATCAATATAAAATGGAACCTTGGCTTTTGTACTAACTTACTGGAAAGTTTTAGCTCTGGAAATCAAATATCATCCTGACACCAAAGCAAGCGGTGAGAGCAATTGAATTGGGAAATTTATGCAAATTAGACGGCTTGCGGACGGTTGTCAAACTAAAAAGAAAGGTTTTACATGAAAGGATTACTCACCATTGCTTGTAGGACGTTTTTACGGCAAGGAAAGTTATTTCCAACTTCTTTTGCGTCGTTTTGAGTCACAAAATAAATAATTTTTAGCCAAAAGACAAACGTACGTTTGCTCAGCAACTGCGGTCCGAATCCGGCCGTGCATCGAAAGTCCCAACACGTCGAAGCAAGAGTTACAAGAGTTTTTACTTCAGTCAGGAGGCAAAAGGAATAAAAATTCATCGCAAACTAATGACTTCGATTTTGAAAACCTTTCATCACTTCAATCGTTCGTCGGCTGATAATAAACATCGCACAAGATCGTATGACCTTTGGCGTGTGACCGGAAATTGGTCACACGCTTTAGTCACGTCAGCATGCTGTCACGAAATTTTCGTAGCTGTTGTCAGCAATTTTAATACAGTTTTCACATTTTTTGACAAGAACTCCCCTCATCGCAGTAGAAACAGCCATGCATATTTATTTTTCTTTTATTTACCTACTAGGCTTTGAAACAGCTTTTTTGCCTTCGAAGTACTAAACAGGAGGGGTACCTCGGATTCCAAGTGTCGTGAGTGACCCGTGGAAGCGAAAATCAAGACCAAAAAAGAACGAATATTTTGAATACTTAAGTAAAGCCACAGCTAAAAAAACAAAATTGTTCAAAATATTTTCAAAACAAGAAAAAAACATACTTCGATCATCCCCGTGACTTGGAATCTGGCCAGGGTACCCCCTCCCCCTCCGCTCCTCCCCTATGCCGGGTCAAAATACTAAGTTCCCCCGGCCCAATGTCCCATAGTCAAGGGAGTATACTCTCTTGCTGTAGTAAAGAACTTGCAGAATAATACCAATTCTCCGTGGCCAACGGATTCAACGCTATAGTTTACTTTGGTTTTCGCTATTTGCTCACGATCAGGAGCCTATAACCCCAACCGCGACCAAATTATGAAACCTGTTATTACCAGAAAAAAAAACACAAAGAAACAGTTAGTCAGATAGACAGTACATAATAAAAAAGACCTCGATTAAGATTAAAAAAAAATCAAGACATGACACTGTCGAATACGCAAACCCAGAAACCATTTTGTGGAAAAAAGGTTCGTATACAGCTATCAGCTGCTTTTGTCCACAACTCGCCGGTAGAGGTGCGCGGAAACTAGTGATTGTGAAATGGCTTCAAACTATGATCCTATACTGTTGGAATATTACTTATCACAGAAAGCTACATCTGATTTCTTCTAGCAGACACAATCCTCTTGGTTCGTGTGGACAAAGTAGCTCATCCCGGCTATTTGCACCATGCTACCATAGTCTCCCTAGATTCCCAAGCCTCGCATGCAGACTTTCCTGTCCCACGAACGTTGGGTAGGATTATAGGACGAGCCAAAAGAAAGTGAAGGCTATAGGCTCTCGCGATGATGCAAGGAAGGTCGAGTATTATATTCCCCTATCCAGGTCGCCCAGGGTAAGTCTTCGGAGGAGAGTGACTTAGGGGCTGTATGTTCGAAAAGTTGACTAACGCCCCCGGAACTAACGCTTTCCCCTGGATAAATCTATATCCAATAAGTAACGCAATTGCTTCATCTTATTTGCTTGATAGTGATTTTCTGTTGCTCAACGTTTGAACAACAGGGCCCTAAGTATTGTGTTTCGCCTTGCACTAAAAACCCATAAACCTTATAAATTTCACTATGGGACTTCAGCACCTCCCTTGAATGATCCATTTCGCTAAACGGGACCTCAAAACAACGATTCTGTGCATCCTAAGGGAGTGTATACTATACGTTCCTGGCTCTCGTCAGGTGATGGTGGCTCATACTCTAATAGACCTAACACAGTCGAACCTCCATGTGCGACCGCCAATCCAAAAGACCAAATTTTCCCATGCAAAGCCTTATATTTGGATTAACCTCCAGTAAACGACCTTCTGTAAGTGACTGCGACCACTTTTTGGGCGTCACGGTTAATTGTTTTCCATAAGCGACCAGTTGACGCATTCTCTGCTCTCTATTTTTGCTGTGTGCACTATGTTCCTTGGAAAATATGAAGACCTTTAGTGA